ACCCCTGCAGATGCTAGTTGTTTTTGGACCAGATCTGCAAGGATGGGGGGGCTGGAATAGTCTCGGCCTCTACCACTGGTTGGTTAAAAATGAGGACCTCGGGTCCTTCCCCAGAAGGGGTAGAGAGGACTGAGGGGGATTGCTTACTCAGACCTGAAATGTTTTTGTCCTTATACAATAAGGATTTGAATAGTTGCGGCTTAAAGAGGCCCACGAAAGCGGGCTGGTCAGGGGTGAGCCCCTCGTCCTTGGACATTTCGTCCTCTAGAGGGTCCATGTCTGAGAGGGGCTCGCTATAATGTATGGACCCCAGATCGAAGTCGTCTGGATCCATGGGTTGATCACCTTCCTCCTCCCCCTCTTCCATCTCCTCCTCCTGCCCTTGGAGGGGGGGGGGTTCCCTAGGCAAGGGCGCCTGAGCCAGACAAAGTTCAGACCTAGGTAGGGACCTCACAGAGTGAGATTCCTGGTCAGAGCCTACCGGATACAGACTGGACCTGGCGGCTTGCTGGATGCCAGTTGCGATGCCTTGGCGAATAGCCAACTCCATCCAGGATCTTATCTTTTCAGGGATCTCCTCAGGGAGAGACTCCTCTTGGCGGACACCGGCAGCAGTTGGGGTGAAGGTGGCCTCTGGAGCCCTTCTGGTCAATGTTTCAGGAACCAGGGCTTGTTGTTCCTGAGGTGGCAAGCTGCACCTGGAGGAGAAGGAAACATCTGGGGGGGGGGAGGTTGAGCAGAGGTAGAGGGACTGGAGGACGGGGGAACCTGAGGCACCTTGAGTGCTTGCTTAGATCTCCTGTCTATTTCTTTTTGCAGGGCCTTGTGGCGCCTTAGGGCGTCCCTCTCGGCCGCTTTGGAGGTCTCCTTAGCCTGCTTGCGCAAGTGATGGGCTTTGGCCTTTGCCTTCAAAGAAGGTCCTTTAGAGGTATTGCCATCTGCCATTGCAATGACTTAAATGTGGCTGTAATAAGATAGGAATCAATATGAGGCGGTTGGCACGCCCAGGGCCCGGTCTAGCAAGACGGTGTCCCTGATCAGAATTACTTCCCCCTTTTAGTATAATTTAATTCCAAGAAAATCCTCTTTTTTCTTTTCTTTTTTTAAAATTATTTATATCTCTATATAGAGATATGAATATGAATCCAATGAGGAAATAGTTGAGCCGTACCACAGTGATAATATTTTGATTATAAAAATATTATACTGTTAGATCTGAATCAATGATATAATTAAGTGGGAATTACAGTTGTATCCCTGCTCCTGGGATAAGGAAGAGAGCCAATTAGCCAAATGACGAAACGCCTAGGCCCAGTAAGTTAAGGCTAGGGCCTGTAGCAACCTTTCTGCACAGGCTGACACTAGGCCTGGGTGCGGCTGCTGCACTGCTGGAGAGAAGCTGTGGGGTTGAGTCAACTATTATGACAATTAAAATAACAGCCAAAAATAAGAGAGTCTCTGAAATAAGGCCAGGCAGGGCCTGTAACGTTGAAATTCCACTCACAGCCTCGTAAAGAGAAAAGAAAATGGCGTGCGCCACGAGGGAACTCCAAAATGGCGGCCGCTATAGCTGCGCGCCTTTCAGCAGCGTTTCCCCGCCTGGCAGGCGAAAATCGCATTCAGTTTAAAGCTGTGGTTAGGGAAGGAGCGCCTAGGCTTTCTCCTTACAACAGAAAAGCGGTGTTCGAGGGTGGGTGGGGGGAATCGCGGTATGGCTCACACGGAGCAGTAAAGGCAAGCCGCTGCGAAAGCGGAGCAATAGAAGCTAGCGATTAAAAGGCAGAGAGAGAGAGAGGGATTCAGGCTATGGGAGGTAGTGCGAGGATCGCTACTGACCCTCCCTTCGCCTCCCCTGGGGGCGAAAACTGCGCTTCCCCTTAATGGCCAGAAAGTCAATTCAAGCAATTGCGCAGGGCTAAGGAGAGAAACAAATCAAACCTGGAATTGAGGCTGCTTGAAATAGCTAAAGGAATCCAATAATTTTGCTTCGGCCAAGGAGCAAAGAGCATAAACAGCCTGTCTTGCACGAGGCTGAGCAAAAACTGGGGAACGCCCAGGAAGAGTCACATGATGAAGGAGGAGCGTTCCTCAATTCGAGCTCAGCCTAAGCAAGCAGAGACTGAAGCACCTCCCATCTCTGGATGCTCCGAGCAGCTCATAGGAGAAATACTGGCTGAAGCTTTGGAAATAACTCAAGAGAAGATGATGGATGGAATAGATGAGATTTATCGAGTTTTCACAAGATATGCGATGAGAAATAGCTTACCAAGAGAAGTTCACATTAGATTTACATTAAAATGCAAATATTGCAAGTGGCAAAAGAGAAAACATTGAAATACAAAGACAAGGAGATTGTGGTCTTGAAACAAATACCCAGAAGAGTGAGAGAGATGAGAAGAGAATACCGATTCCTGACTAAAATGCTACTTTAAAAAGTGGTTGGAAAAAATGACAAAAAAGCATATAGATTTGAAACCAGAGATATTTTTGTTGGAAATGTTACCTGAAATATGTAGTAAAGAATTGAAATACCTGATTGTAAATGTATCAACAGCGGCTAGGATTGTATTTGCTAAAAACTGGAAAAATGAGAAAATACCATCACAGGAGGAAATCATTAAGAAAATATTGGAATGTGCTGAAATGAGTAGATTGACATTTGAAATTAGAGAACAAGAAGATAAACAATTTTATAAAATTTGGGATCTTTTCTGTCAATGGTTAGACAATAAAGTACAGTAATGAAATATGTAGACTTTTAGAAAATAATAAATATATAAAGATGTACTTCTTTCTTATTATATCTACAAAATGATTTTAGGATAGATTTGGGATGATAATGTGAACTGTTATAAAATAAACTAAGTAAATTATGGTTATCTTGTAAAACATGAATGAATAAAAGTATAGTCAAATGATTGATTAATAATGATACTAAGGTATTTAATTTTTGATTGACAATATGAGATTATATGTAATGTAATTGTAATTGAAGACTATGAAATGGAAGCACAAAACAATTTGTAAACCAACCGGCACACTGTATGTACACCTATGGAAGATAGCTTGATGTTTTTATGTTTTGTTTGTTTGTTTTTAAAAACCAATAAAATTTAAAAAATAAATAAAGATATTGAAGAGTACTGGGCCTAAGACAGAAACTAGTGGCACCCCACTGCTTACTTCCCTCCATGTAGACTTAGACACATTAAGGACTACTCGTTGAGTACAGTTTGTCAGCCAGTTGTGAGTCCATCTGGTGGTGGTGCTATCTATCCCACTTTTTTCTAGCTTACCCAAAAGTAGGTTGCGGTCTACTTTGTCGAATGCCTTGCTGAAATCTAAGTATATTATGTCCACGGTATTTTGCTGGTCTACTAATTTAGTCACTATGTTGAAGAATGAAATAAGATTGGTTTGGCACGATCTGTTTTTAACAAACCCGTGCTGACTGCTAGTTATTACTTTGTTTCTAAATGTTCGTAAATTATAGTTACCTCGCAAAGTATGAATGAACAAAATTATAGTCAAATGATTGATTAATGGTGATACTAGGGTATTTAATTTTTGATCGATAATATGAGTTAGTATGCAATGTAACAGTAATTGAGACTATGAAATGGATGCACAAAAAATTTGTAAACCAACCGACACACTGCTTGTACATTTTTTTTCCTTTTTTGAAGATGGGAACCACATCAGCTCCTTTCCAGTCCTCTGGTAGCTCCCTGGTGCTCCAGTATTTTTGAAAGATATGGTGCAGTGGTTCTGCGATGACCTCTGCCAGCTCCTTTAAAACTCTGGGATGTAATCCATCAGGCCCTGGTAATTTGCGTTCATCAAGATCAGACAGGTGTTCTCTATTTTTTTTGCTTATTTTAACTTTTATTTCTGGTCTGTCTTTTACAGTTACCTTTTTGGTGGGTTGAGCTATAGTTTCTTTTTGCGTGAAGACCGGTGCAAAGAGTGAGTTAAGCAGTTCTGCTTTCCCTCTGTTGCCTGTTACTTCCTTGCTGTCTTCTCTCTTTAGTGGACCGACTGTTTCCTTGATTTTTTTTCTTGTTATTTATATGTTGGAAGAAACTTTTTTTTTTAATTATCTTTGACTTTTGTTGCAAGTCTTTGTTCGTTCTGAGCCTTTGCTTTCTTGGACTTCGTCTTTGCAGATTCTGGCTATCTGCTGATATTCTGCCTTAGTTGTATGTCCTTTCCATTTTTTGTACTTGTCCTTTTTTTCTTTCAATTTGCCAGAGAGAACTGTGTGCAGCCATGCTGGTTTCTTCTTGGATTTCTTGTTTTTCTTTCTCAGTGGTATTGTGCTGGTCTGGGCTTCTATGATCATACTTTTTAGAGTTTCCCAAGATTCTTGAGTTGTTTTCCCCTTTAGGGTTTTCATCTATGGAATCTTTCCCAAGTTCTGAGTTTATTAAAATCAGCTCTTTTAAAATCCAAGACTCTGGTGTCATTATGTTCTATTGCTTGTGTTTGTGTTATGTTGAATTGTAGTATGACATGGTCACTCTCACCCAAGATAATGTTATTATAAATCTGGTTAGAATTATGTTCTAAACTGAACAGAGAAAACACATTTTTTTAAAGCATACAATCCCAGTTTCTCCAAGTTGCCTTGAAGATTGCAACAAAGGATGTTTGGCTGACATGATAAATAACCAGGCAGGTTGGGAATTCTGGAAGCTGCCATACCCACACAGATGGAAGAGGCTACTTTTACCAGCTGTAGCTCTCTCTCACAACAGATCTCCACCATCTAAGGCAGAGGAAGATTTTCCACCCTGCTTGCTAACAAATTCTTTAAATCAGATAGACCGAGTACTTGGTATAGGTAAAACAGAACCACAGTGCACCAATCTCCTCACAGAACCAAAAATTGTGATCATTCAAGTCACACTGAGAAATGTTGCAATGTTTTCTTTAGTGCACAGAAACACATGCAGACAACAACACCACCACCACCACCCTGCTATTCGTCCACACCCAACCTTTGCTGGTTGAGACAGTGAATGACTGTTCGAGGTCATCAATGGAGGCCTGTAGAAAGACAAGAAACACAGGGGGTTCATTATTTGGAGCAGGCAGAAAAGCTACCTGAGAGCTTTTCAAGGACCCAGGTACTTTTCCTTTGGAAGTAGAAGAATGGTACGGTTTTTTTTTCTACAAGGAAGGATGGATTCATGAGTATCTTTAATGTAGGATTGACTGCTTTCCATGACAGGTAATTAAGCTAGGAATGGTTGTTAACTAAGTCAAACTACTCTTAATTCATCACAATTCTCTTTTTTGCATTTCAAAACAAAAACTCAAGTGTTTTTGACCCAGGGCACCAGTGACATCTCTTGGTAACCAGAACTGGAATGTAATATGGCAATATTTCTTCCAGAACAATACCCATTGGAAAAGTGTTACAAGTAGTCCTTCACTTACAGTCATTCATTTAGTGATCACTCAAAGTTACGATGACACTGAAAAAAGTTACTTATGACCGTTGCAGCACCCCATGGTCACGTGATCAAAATTTAGATGCTCTGCAACTGGCATGTATTTATGACGGTTGCAGTGTCCCAGGGTCATGTGACCCCCTTTTGTGACCTTCTGAAAATCAAAGTCAATGGGAAAGCCAGATTCACTTAGCAACCGTGTTACTAAACTAACAATTGTAGTGATTCACTCAACAACAGTGGCAAGAAAGGTCATAAATTGGGGCAAAACTAACTTAACCATTGTCTCGCTTAGCAAGGGGAATTTGGGGCTCAGTTGGGGTCGTAAATTGAGAACTACCTGCACTGTACACTACTACTGACCTGCGTTCACTTGCTATTAACTTCCAGATGCTGATTAAAGCCCTTGTTTTAATCTTCTACAAATTTCTCAATGGCTTATGCTGTATGATTGGGATTAGGTGAGAGATGCCAAAAGTTTTTTTTACTACTGTTGTATATGAGTGTGTGTCTATATGCATGCACAGATCATTGTTTTCCAGACTCTTGCTCTCTCGTTATTCATCCTAAGACCACTAAAGCACATGGGGTGTGTTATGTCCTGAGGACTCTAGGAGTTCTCACTCAGGTCCACTCACTTTGTGTGGGCGTTATTCCCCCATTCCCATTGGTTGGTTCTCCCCAGCAGCCAGCTATAAAAGCAGGCTGCGGGGTCCAACCAGTTGCTGATTGCTGCGAGCCAGTTCCAGGCGTGGCAAGCACGGTCAGCCCTTTATTGTATAATAAAGTATTGTTGCACTCATGCTCTGGTTCAGCCTCTCATTGCTCAAACTTAACACTGGCGACGAGGGTGGGATGGCTACCAGAAGCACCATGCAACCGCTGAGTCACTAGCCACCGATCCGCAGCCCAGAGAGAGCGATCGGCTGGCGATAAGGGAAACGCTGATCCGCAGCCAGAGAGAGCGGTCAGCCAACAAAACGAGCGATCAAAAAGAGCAAACGCTGATCCGCAGCCAGAGAAAGCGGTCTGGTTCAAAAAGTTAGAAGCGTCTGTAGCCGCTTGTTAGCCCCGCTATAGGGAAAGTGAAGCGCTGCGAGCCGCAGCCGCTCTGTATTTGGCGCGAAATTCAAACGGGTGTCATTTGAATTTCGAGCCAGCATGAGGCACAGCACAGCGCTGTAGGAAGTCACTAACGCCCATTTTGGCGCGAATCGAGACACCTCCAACGGCTAACAGCCAACGTGGTAACCCAGAGAGAGAAAGAGAGGGTAGCAAAAAACCTCTCCAGAGCTGATATCACTAGTAACCCACGAGCGCCCGTTGTCCCAGAGAGATTTTTTCCGCAGGTAGCCCAGCCGTTCCAGCACCATGAGTTCCAACCCAGTATTCCCGGCGTTCAAACCAGACGAAGAGAAGTGGGAATCGTATAAGAACCGCTTCAATCATTACATCGATGCAGTCGGCCTGACGGATGCGGGAGAGCATCGAAAAAAATCCTATTTCCTAATCTACTGCGGAGCCACCGTTTACGATACCGCCGCAGCACTCGTGGCGCCGAGAGAGTTGAAAAACGTTCCGTGGTCCGAGTTACTTGAGATCCTCACTAACCACTACGCTCCCAGGCCTTCACAAATCGCCAGGAGGTTCACGTTCCGTATGAGGAAGCAATCGAGTAAGGAGACCATCAGTCAATATATGGCCGCCCTCAGAACAGCAGCCCTGCACTGCGGGTTTGGAACATACCTGGAGGACATGCTCCTCGATCAATTAGTTTGTGGGGTCAAGGATCTCAACCTACAGAGGCGCCTGCTAGCAAAAAAAGACCTCAACCTCGCGCAAGCGGTCGAGGAGGCCCTAGCAGCCGAGCTAGCAACGAACTCAGCCACCGAAATTCAGGGCCCAAGTGCCAAGCTGGCATCGTTCCCAGTCCATTCCGAAGAGGTGGAAGCAGAGGAAACCCACAACGATGAAAACGACGTCCACCGCCTCGCCAACGACAGACGGTCGCAGGTAGGGGCCAAACAAGAAAACACCGGTCCACCCAAGCACATCACACTGTGCCTAGCCTGTGGGGGATCGCATCAAAGGGCCACCTGCAAGTTTAAAGGAGCCACCTGCAACAACTGCCATAAGAGGGGGCACATCGCGAGAGTCTGCCAAGCCCCCCAAAGCGCTGCACACAGACCCCCGTCCTCGCACTCGGGGCCACAGAGGCAAGTATTAAACTGTCGCACGCACCGCCTTGCCAGGCGTACTTGCCACACTGTTAGTAAAATTTCTCTCTCCGTTTCCCTAGAAGGTAAACCGTGCCACATGGAGGTTGACACAGGGTCAGCGCTCTCAATAATCTCGTGGAACACCCTCAAGAGACTCCACCCCAGCCTATCTACTACCCGGCTTCAGAGATGCCAGTTCGGTCTGAAGGACTACCAGGGGAAGGCCATTCCCGTGATCGGCAGAGGCAAGTTCTTTGTCAGTTTTAGAGCTTTTAAAGGCCACCTACCTCTAGTGGTAGTTAACGGCAATCTACCCACCTTATTGGGGCTCGATTGGTTTCCCCACCTCGGCCTAGGGCTAACAGGAGTCCATGCTGTCTCAACCTCAGACACTGACTCCTTATTCGCTGACTACGCAGATGTGTTCAGCGAGGAGCTGGGGTGTTATAATGGAACCCCCATCTCGTTCACTGTTGACCCCCAGGCAGTCCCAATCAGATTAAAACCACGTAGAGTTCCATTTGCTATTCGGCCAAAACTAGACGCTGAATTGGATAAACTATTAAAACAAGGGGTCATTGAGCCAACAGATTTCGCCAAGTGGGAGACGCCCATTGTCACACCCCTTAAAAAAGATGGTAGCCTGAGAATTTGCTCGGACTACAAGACAACAATCAATAAATATTTACAAGTTAGCGCCTACCCTGTGCCCGTCATTCAGCACTTATTACACACATTCGAGCCGGGCAGTATTTTTGCTAAATTGGACATGTCTCAAGCATATCAGCAGTTCCCTGTTGATAACCAAACAGCGGAACTTCAGACCATCGTCACTCATAGGGGTTCCTTCCGATGCAAGCGTCTCCAATTTGGCGTAAGTGTTGCCCCGGGTATTTTTCAATCCCTCATGGAGCGGATTTTACAGGGCCTCCCTGGTGTAGTACCCTACTTCGACGACATCTTGGTCTCGGCCAGGGACAGACCCCAACTCTTCCAGAGAGTGCGAGCAGTGTTAGAGAGGTTCAGACAGCATGGCCTCAAGTTAAAAAAAGAAAAATGCGCCATTGCCACTAGACAGGTGGACTTTCTGGGTTATAAAATTGACGCCTCTGGCATTCACCCCCTGGAGTCCAAGGTTAGGGCAATCCACGAAGCACCCACACCAACCTCCAAAACGGAGCTACAAGCTTTCTTGGGGCTGCTGAACTTTTATGCATCCTTCTTGCCCCATAAAGCCTCAGTAGCAGAACCCCTACACAGATTACTAGACAAAAAGTCACCGTGGCACTGGGGGCACAAAGAAGACCAGGCGTTTAACGCCGTCAAATCACTACTTACGTCAGAGGCAGTGCTCATCCAATTCGACCCCAACCTTCCTTTAGTACTGGCAGCAGACGCATCCCCTTTTGGAATTGGGGCGGTCCTTAGTCACAGACTCCCCAATGGCGCCGAGGCCCCCATCGCCTTTTTCTCCAGGACGCTCTCGGCCACGGAGCGAAATTACAGCCAGATAGACAAGGAAGCCCTAGCAGCTGTTGCGGCCGTGAAAAAGTTTCACGAATTCCTTTTTGGCCACTTCTTCGAACTGGTCACCGACCATAAGCCCCTCCTGGGCCTACTGGCCGGCGACAAACAGACCCCTCAAGTCCTTTCCCCTAGGATGACAAGGTGGACACTTTTCCTAGCGGCCTACTCATACAAACTTATTCACCGCCCGGGCAAAACTCTATCCCACGCCGACGCTCTCAGTCGCTGCCCCTTACCCGCTCCGGCTGAAGACCCAGCTCCTGTCAACGCCATTTTCGAGATCACCCAGTTGGACCTGCCCATCACCGCCCTTGACATCGCCGCTAAAACCAAGGCAGACCGAACGCTCGCCCAGGTGCTCGACTGGGTGAGGAGGGGGTGGCCGGGAGGCAACATTGATAACAAATTCGCACCCTTTAAGACTCGCATGCAGGAGCTGTCCAGTTTGCAGGGTTGTCTACTGTGGGGCACTCGAGTGGTCATTCCGACCTCGCTGCGTACCCGAGTCCTGGAGGCGTTGCACGAGGGACACCCCGGCATCGTGAGAATGAAGGCATTAGCACGCAGCTACGTGTGGTGGCCGGGTCTAGACGAGGACATTGTCAATTGGGTAAGTTCCTGCAGCATTTGCCAGGAATCCCGTCCTGCTCCCCCCATCGCCACCCCTACCAGATGGGAGAGCGCCAGCGCCCCTTGGTCTAGAATCCATATCGATCTGGCCGGCCCCGTGCATGGAAAGATGTTCCTAGTGGTCGTGGACGCTTATTCCAAATGGATAGACGTGGCACAGCTATCCACGACCACCACACTAGCAATCACCAACGTGTTAACGCGCCTGTTCGTTACACATGGACTACCCGACTCCATTGTCTCCGATAATGGCCCACAGTTCGCATCAGTAGAATTCAGCCGTTTTGCTGCCAACCTGGGCATTCGCCACATTTTCACAGCCACATTTTCACAGCCCCATTTCACCCTGCCAGTAATGGGTTGGCTGAAAGGGCCGTCAGGACCACCAAAGAGGCCCTCGCTAGGTTTGGCAGGGATGACTGGCACCACAAACTCTCACGGTTCCTGATGAGCCAGCACTCAACCCCCTGTGCAGTCACCAATAAGTCCCCAGCGGAACTTCTGATGGGCCGGCGCCTGAGGACTGTATTGGACAGACTGCACCCACAATACTGCCCTGACTCTCCCCTCGCTTCTACTTCGGGGGTTAGACATTTTATGTTACAGGAGCCAGTATTCGCAAGGAATTTCGCTGGGGACCCACTTTGGATTCCAGGCGAGGTCATCGCCGTCACCGGGCCGAGATCGTATAGGGTCAGGCTGGAGGATGGTCGCGTCTGGAGGAGACACATAGACCAGCTTAGAAGGCGCCTCAGCACCCTTGCCAACAAGAATCCAGAGTCTCCAGTCGAAGGGGAACCGCCTCATCCGCCGCCCAGCCACATCGCACCCAACGACCAGTCGGCACCAGCGGTCGTTCCGGTCAGCCCAAACTCGGACAGCGCCCAGAGGGTTGACCAGCCTGATCCAACCCACGAGAGCTCGACCCCAGTAACCAACCCGATGGTTTCCGAGGATGCCCAGTCCGGAGAGAGCGTTGGCGACACTATGCCGGCTCAACCGTCACAGACTGATACCGAACAGACAGACAATGTTCCCGAGCTGCGCCGTTCCGGGCGCCAACACAAACCCCCCGTCTACCTCAAGGACTATGCATGTTCGCATCTGGGGGGAAGGGGTGTTATGTCCTGAGGACTCTAGGAGTTCTCACTCAGGTCCACTCACTTTGTGTGGGCGTTATTCCCCCATTCCCATTGGTTGGTTCTCCCCAGCAGCCAGCTATAAAAGCAGGCTGCGGGGTCCAACCAGTTGCTGATTGCTGCGAGCCAGTTCCAGGCGTGGCAAGCACGGTCAGCCCTTTATTGTATAATAAAGTATTGTTGCACTCATGCTCTGGTTCAGCCTCTCATTGCTCAAACTTAACAGGGTGTACTTCATACTTGGTTCTACTTACCATCCAATTTACAGAAAAATCTACCACAAACCATGCACAAACATTTGCAATAGGCTGCAAAAAGGATGGTTATTTCTACTCATCTACATTTTCTAAAAAAAAAAAAAACACAAACAACAAACAAGCAAAAAACCACTATCCTCCTGACCAATTTGGTCAATTGATCTACCATCCAATTATTTCTTTGAAATTAGGAGCAAACATTTGTTATCGCTTTCTCTTCTCCACACTGTAAAACAATGACAATAAAGTCCTACATTTTGTCCCCAGCTCAGCACAAAACCTCAAAATATGGGGTGTTTTGTTTGAAGCTGTGAACAATAATAAAAGCCATTTCAAGTTCTGATAATTTTGTGCATGCCTGGAATTTTGGTGTAATTCTGGAAAAAGGTATAAAGTTGAGGTATTCACACACTACATGTTTGTGCAGAATGAAACCATGGAAAGCAGTTTACCCTACATAGAAACAACCTTAATATCTTTTCATAAAATAGAATTTCTCGCAACATTGCCCCATGTCATTTCTAGAAAAGCATGCAACTATTGCTAAGGACTGAGAACATGTCATAAATTAGGCCCAGAAAATTATAGTTACCTACCTGCTCCTCTGGGTCACTTTCTGTATCACACTGTCAAAGAACAACAGAGAAAAAGAAACAGATGTCAAACGGAGCAATATAATGGAAAATATCCCTCTATTTTTTTATCGTAATATATATATAAAACACACACACACATATCCACTATAAACTCTATAGAGATTTTTAGTGTGACAGCAAGCTAGGTCTTACTGCTTCCAATACAATATATATTTTGAAGAGTATTAAGAGCACAAAACATTCTTAAAAATTGTAGAACACATGAAGAATGATGTGCTATTATTGTACACAAATTGAAATTAGTCAGGATACCCCAAGAGACCCTAAAATGCATTGGAATCTATCATTAAAAAAATCAAAGCATCCACACATTTGGCATCATTGCCAGAATTGCAAAGAACCATAACTAAGGGAGTGAATGAGCATTTTAGCACCTTCTAGCTGTCCTATACACAATCCATCACTTGCTGTAGTATATTCATTAAGAGGAGCTGATTTCTCTGCTCTTCTGGGGAAGCCATTTGTAACTCAATTAAAGCCTGCTTTAGTCTGAGGGAAAGAATCCCACTGATGGAATGCTTGGGCAGTTAAAATTCAGTCTTGCAGAATCCTGTTTTGAAAGAGTTGAGGAAAGAAGGTCCGTACACTACCCACTTACTATATATCCAGTTTCCAGGTAAGATTGGAGAGAAGGCTGAATTTGATTTAAAAAAAAGAGAAAAGAGAGAGAGAAATTGATTAGACTCACAACAATGAGGCTTGCCACTCCAAGAGCAAACAGGCCAGAACTCTAGATACCAAGTTCTGTTTTGCTGACAGGCTAATGGAATTAGAACTATACTGAAAATAAGAGGATGCCTACTTTCAAAACATGTGAGCAGTATTTCTAAAATAGGTCAACCTTGATTTGTAAACACTATACAGGTCAATAGAGCATGTTTGGAAAATAATTGCTCCACTCTTTGCTCTATTTTGTTGGCCATATGACAACATACTGATGATTGTGCTAAGATTATTCCTGTATAAACAATTTAGCAGGTTCAGTTACAAAGCAGAAAATGCTGCACTTTGTGAATCTCTCAATAGTAATAACAACAAATCTCCCATGAAGGGAAACCCAATTGTCTGTATTTCAGGAATGTAGTACGAGGAGCCAGAAAACTCCTTCAAAAAAGGCCCCCAAAACTGCAATTGCTAATGTGAAACAAGGAAATGGTTATAAAATAATGGAAAATAATTGTTAACAATTTAAATTAAAATATTTAAAATTACATGTGAATTAAAGTTAATTTTCTTTCTACCCACATTTAAAGAATGTATCTGGCATGCCATTCAAACAGCTAATGCAGCCATCCTAGTATAGGTACAGAAGACGTTATGTCTTATTATATAGGTTCCAGGAAGCTGTCCTTTAGATTTAATTATGTATTTTTTTGGTTTTGCTCTTCAATTTTCCTTTGTAAAGCAAAGTTATAAAAACATTTTTAATTCTTACATACCTCTCTCCAATTTGTCCTTTATTTTTTTCCAAACCCTACTGCTGTTGGTTTTACTTCAACTACATAATGAAAAAATCTGGGATTTCAATTCATCTTAGGATGATAGATTCAACTACCGTGTTTCTCAGAAAACACGACCCACCCCAATAATAATATTATACCTACCCCAAAAATAAGCCCAGGGGATGGGAATGGACAGCATGAGTGGTGGTGCGGGCACCCGGGGGGGGGGGGAACTGTCTGGCTGCAGAGAGGGGAGAAAGCCATTCTACGCTGAAGCAGAAGCATTCAAGCCTCAACTTCATCCCAGGATTGCCAACGCTGAAGGTTTGGAATGGAGCCTTCAGCGTTGCAATCCTGAAATACGCTGAAGGCTCAGAGTGGAGCCATTTTTGTGAAAGGCAGGAAAATGGGGAGAGGAATTTTCCTGCCTGTTATCCACTCCTCTTGGAGTAGGACCCTGCAAGGCTTGTTGTGGCGTTGCACTCATGAATGGCAGCACCTCCGTGAGCTTCATCACACCGGTACAGCTGGCATCCTGCCATGAGTGGCTGCGCCAGTGCATCCAAACTCGCATGCGCAACGGCACAGAAATCCTTTCAGGGTCCTGCTCGAAGAGGCTGCGCCGATGTGACGAACCTCACGGCAATGCCGCTGCTCGCACGCACAACTCTACAACAAGCCAAGCAGGGTCCTGAGATATGCTGAAGGCTTGGAGTTGAGCCGTTTCTGCGAAAGGCAGGAAAATGTGGAGGGAGAGGGAGCTTGAGGAATGGATGATAGGCAGGAAAATCCCCCCTCCGCATTTTCCTCCCATTTGCCAAAAAGCCTCCATTCCGAATGCTGAAGTTTTGGAATGGAGGCTTTTCGGAGAATGGGAGGAAAATGGGGAGGGGGAATTTTCCTGCCTGCCATTCTTCCCTCAGTCTGTGCTAAGCTTGAGGAATAGCTCCTTTGGGCCACTACAGAAGCGGCCCGGTGGAGAAGCAAGGGTGCGCGTGGGGCGCTCCTTTCAGCCACGATAGAAGCAGCCCGGTGGCTAGGCGAGGCGCGTGGAAGAAAAATTAAGACACCCCTTGAAAAGACAGCCTAGCCCTTTTGGGGGGCAGGGGGCGGGTTTCCAAAAGAAAATAAGGCCTTGTCTTATTTTCTAAGAAACATGGTAGCTAGCTGTTTTGGACGTGTTAATAAACAAAAAAGAAGGAACAGAAAATTCAAGAAAACTACAGGCTGAGTTGTCCTGAACTGCTGTTTTGTCTTATTTCCAATAAAAGCTTAGCAAATTTTATGCATGTATATTAAGACCGAGGGGTGGGGTTTAATAACATATGTAAATATTGCAACTGTATAATACAGGCAATCCCTGGTTTACGAGCGTTCCCTTAGTGAACATTCGAAGTTATGCGATAAGTGCCCCCCAGCGTTTACAAACAGGTCCCCAAATTACGAATGTTGCAGCACCACAGTTGCTTGCACTTACGAACAACCGCAGAGGCTCTGGAACATTCACCCTGCCTATCCCCCCACTCCCAGATGGCTTGAAGGCTTTGGCAATGAAAAAGAAGGCGTGGAAAGCCACACGTGGCCCTCCAGGCCTCCTTTCTCGCCTCCAGAGCCCTTTTCAAGCTGTTCGCATGCACTTCTGGTCTGCAATTTTCACCGCGAAATGGCTTGAAGAGGGCTCTGGAGGCGGGAAAGGAGGCCCACATGTGACCTTCCGTGCTTCCTTTTCATCACTGAAGCCTTCTTCAAGCCCTTTACTGACAAGAAAGGAGGAAACAAGCAAAGAAACAAGCTGGAGAGGAGACAGATCTTCATAAGGTAAGTCACCAGGCACGGCAGGATGGGGGAGGAAGCAATTGTGGGTACCCCAAGGGAGGGAAAATGAGGTAACTGTGGGTCAGGGGAGGCCCTGGGTAGTCTGAAGTAGGTGACCTGTTCCATTACTAGCCCCCCCATTGCCTTCCCCACCCCGAGATACCGCATGTTCACTTAACGAGCCACACATTCGATTAGCGAATGTGTGGGCGAAAGGAGGAAGTGATCACGTTCATTGTACAAGATTCACTCCTACAAATCCTTGGGTTATGAATGGAATGGGCAGGCTCCATTACATTTGTAACTCGAGGACTACCTGTATTCCCTTCACTGAGTCTACGAGTCATAGGTTTCATTGCTCATGATCCTGGCTCTGATTCTGCATAGAGCAGAATGATGGTTTCCTGCTGTCATTGCACTTTTGTGCTTTTCCCCTACTGAGTATTAATGCTTACATCCCTTGCATGGCAAATTATAACAGATGAGCAAGCCAGTGTTTACCCCAATGGAACATCATTTTGAGTACAAAGCTGCACTGGCTCTATGCAAGCACTGCCAACATGTAGTTCCCTTGGTTAGACACAGGTGGCCACGCATCACTCCTCACCCTTAGTATTTGCAAGGCCCCTAGCTTCACCCGGACCTAATCTTTTTAATTCTATTATTTTAAAAAACAAACGGGAAACTGCAAAACATAGTATCAGTTGCCAAACCTATTTTTATTTTCAAATATGCATCTGGATCCACATCAGCACCACATGTATACTCAGAAATGATACTGAGGGATTTCCAAATATAGATTAATAAAGTCTGGGCTCATAATACGCTAGATTTAACTTTGATTGAGAAGAAGGTGTGGGTAATTGATGTGGCAACACCATGTGCAAAATACAAAGAATTGGGAGAAAATCACTATCAAGATCTGGAAAATCGAAATGAAAAGATTATGGCATAAACCAGCCATGGTGGTCCCAGTAGCTATCAGCACACTGTGTGCCATACCAAAAAAAATCTTGGATGGCACTTGGAAAATGTGTGGATCGACAAGTTACCATCTGACAATTGCAGAAGGCCACACTGCTTGGATCCACACGTATACTGCTCCGATATGACATCCTAGGAAGAATTTGATGTGTGTGTAGGCCAATACTAGTTAAAGAATTGGCAGCTGTGACTTAACATTGTTGTGAACAGAAAATAATATTACAAACTTGTGCGTTTAACACATTTAATACTTTGGAATTTGAAACTGCTAGGCTGCTCAGAAAATTATAGCGGTTATTATAGCCTGATTTGTGACAGGCTATAATCACAATGGCAAAGTTATGAACAGGCAAGGCTACATTCCCATGACGGCTGCTGTACCTACTGGCTCAGAAGGCTATAGGCCTTCTGTTGCCACAATCTATTTGCTCCTTAGGATCTTCCAAATACCTTGAAGTAGTGTTTCCCAAAGCTTTTCTTTCCTACTCATCTAGCCCAGTAAAAATGGCAAAGTGGAGCCTTCAAGAAACATCCTTTCAATGCAGCGAGTGATACTGGCCCTTATAGTCCATCCTGTAATTTTCCACATGACAGTATTGAGAAACTGAGGTGTTCCCCAGAAGCAGATTTCTAGAAGTCTCTGTAAGCTTAATCCAGCCCACAAGTTTCCCCAGTTCAATTGAGCTGTTTTCAAACATACACCCCTGCCTGCTTCAGTTTCGTCCCCCGAGTCCCACTCCCTGAACCCAAGACCTCACCTCTTTGTGCCGTCTCTTGCTTCGTTTCCTTAGTCCTCTCTCCCCTCCACAGCACTGGCTGCGATCCTTTTCTGAGCCTTCGTCTTCATCTTCAGGCTCAGAATTGTTTCCCTCACCCCGTTTCCTCTTTCCTGAATGTTTCAGCCGAAGCTCCAATTGCTCTGGAGTCTTCAAGGTTGCATCCTTCTGCAGGAGTAACAAGGTAGGCATTATAATGGCTGCAGACAATCTACCCTCTGAATAAAAGCTGTGATATCGCAGCTGCTGCTGTGGGATATAGAAATGTGTGTTTAGATATAAAAACTGGAAAGCACCTTATAAAACGTAATACAAAACTCTGGGACAAAATTGAAATATCTCGCCTGGCTACTTAACTATCAGTACTAACAATTATTTATTTTGGATCCATAAATAACATTTACATTTTTTTGCACTGCATTGCAGATACTACACAAATGAAATATCCTAACATTAAAAAAATTTGGAATCCCAATTATTTATATAATAGTATCATAAATATTATAAAAACACTTTCACATTGAAAGCCAGTAAGAAGTAGTCGTTAAAAGGCTGCCAGCTTTGGAATCCCTATAAAAAGCTGCCACACTGATATGGAGGATGGAAGGGGGGGGGGGGTGTTGGTATTTGAGTAATTTTTAGTAGACGTAACAGATACGTAAGACTATCAAGGTCATTCTTTATGGCGCAGCAAGAATTGTAGTTGAAGGGTGATTGGTTCACGTGATTGATGATGTGGGAGAAAATGGGTGGGTGTTAATTGAGTATTGTGGGAGGTCTGGGAGGAAACTTTACTTTCAAAATCTCACAGACATGCCAAGTTTTTTGTTTTAATAAAGCACTTTGAGAATATGCCTGTCTCGGAGTTACTGATTAAACCGAACAATTTCTGGAACCCTGGCAATATTTTGAAACTCATTTTAAAAAGGGGTTGCTGAAAAAAAAACCCAGGGATTTTTTCCAGCAATGGAGGAAGCTCAAAATTCAGCCAACCCAGAAGGTGAGACGGAAGGAACTTGGGGAGGGCCCTCTGGAGCATTAGCTGAATCTCTCAGCCCCCCTTTGGAGGAGCTAATGCAGGCATTTAGAGACGCAGAGGAGAGACATGATTTAGGAGCCAGACCAAGGCGTTCTAACTCATGGGGGAGCCATCAAACGACGCTAACCAGACTACCGGGGGAAAGGTCCTTCACGAGCTCTCTGCATACAGCAAAGGAGTCAGACTGGAGGGGTGAGGCCCAAATTGGATCGGAACCCTCTCAAGATGACAACCCCGATTTATTCTCGAAACCAATCATTCGCAGAATTACCACAACAATTCCAGCAATTAAAAGTGGGAAGTTTTGTCTCAAAGCCACAACCTACCCGTTCAAGTTGGAGCCTGGTACAGCCCGTCTTTTCTTTCACAAGAGTAAAGAGGGGAGAGGAAATTGCCCAGTTGGAGAGGTCCAGCGTGACAGCCCATGGCGACCAGAGGTGCTGGCCACAAGAGGTATGTTGCAACCTCCAAGTCCTCCTCCCCTACACCCAGAAAGAATTTTACCCCCTGCAGAGAGCATCCCTCCAGGGTGGGGGTTTTCTCCAGGCCAGGGGTGGATCCAATGCCAATGGACGCCAGCGCCAACTAAGCCCTGGTCCAAAGGGGAGTCATCAATCCTTGACCCACAAGGGAATCCGCACACACCGCAGACAGAAGTTAATGGATTTATTTGATTATTGAGACTCAGATTTGAAAATCCAGACAGGGTGGCAGAAAATGAAGAGAAGTTAATGGAAATGAAACAGGGCAAACGACCCTTATCAGACTTTATTTGGGACTTTAGAAGGGTTGCGAGCCATCTCAGGGATTGGCCTGAAAGAATGACATTACACTATTTCAAGAACACCATTGACCCAGAAGTAAAGAAGGCATGTAACATTAGGGGAATACCAGAGATTCTGTAAGCGTGGTATGCCACCGCCCTCAGACAAAACCGCAATATCAACCCACAAAAAAAACCCCTTCTGGAAGGCCTGCCTAAAAGAATCCTGACCAGATGACCGCTGACCAGACCTGCTGAAGCCACCCACATCCGACCCAACAGAATGATAAAACATTACCATTGTGGCCAAGATGGCCATAGAGCAACTGACTGTCTGGCTCCTGCACCAGTTCCACAAGCACCACAACCCAAGTCTGCCACGGCTGTCAGAGGTCGAAAATTTCAAGGAAAACCTCCTGATGCTAGCTGGTTTGCTAAGCACACCCTGTAAGGTCCTCTCAACACAGAAGGGAGAAACCAACTTCCAGACCAACACCACCTCCCTGAAAACCCAACCGTTGATGACCCAATGGCGAGTGCTCCCGTCATACCTTTTACTGTTAAAGTCAAGTTAGTGGTACCTAACACAGGGGAGGCAGGGGAGTTAGAAGGAGTCATTGATACTGGATGCTCTAGATGTCTTATTGGGCTTCCCATCGTTGAACAACTGGGCATAAAGGCTAACCCACTAAGACACCCAATCAGATTTGAACAAGTGGATGGGACATTAATTGGGGGGACCCCAGCAACCCAATTGAAAGAGTTGGTCAAAATGGAAATGGGTCCTCACCGCGAACTCATACGCTTTATAGTGGCTCCAAAAATGTCAGAATCGATCATATTGGGACTTGCTTGGCTAGATAAATGGGCCCCTACCATCAAGTGAGAGGATGGATTCAGGAAAATCATTATTGGGGTGGGCCCACTGCCCCCCCCCTCCCACTAAGAAAACACCACCTGACTCGAATCCAAAACCTGAACCAGCAGCCACAGCCTCGAACCTTCTCCCAGGTACGCCCCAAATACCCAAAGAATACAAAGACTTGGCTGAAGCATTCAGTGAAGAGGAATGTAATGTTTTACCTCCACACTGAGCAACTGATTGTGCCATAGAGTTAGAACCCGGGGCAAAACTACAAAAACCAAAGATGTATTCCATGACACCGGCTGAAATGACCGAATTGAGGAAATACATCGATGAAAATTTGGACAGAGGTTTTATTGAACCGGCCAAATCAAGGTTAGCTGCCCCCGTGCTATTCAAGGAGAAAAAAAAGATGGTGGGTTGAGATTATGTGTCGACTTTAGGGGCATAAACGCTGTATGCGAAAAAAAGTACCCTCTCCCCCTCATGAAAGACTTATTAAACCACCTGTCAAAAGGCAAGATATTCACCAAGCTAGATCTGAGAGAGGCATACTACAGAGTCCGTACAAAAGAAGGAGACGAATGGAAAACAGCCTTCAACTGCCCTTTAGGTAGTTTCCAATTCTGAGTCATGCCTTTCGGACTCCAAGGGGCCCCCGCAGTATTTATCCAATTCATCAATGAAGTGTTACATCCGCACTTGTACAAGGGGGTCCTAGTCTACCTGAGTGACATCCTTATATTCAGCAAAACCATCGAAGAACACGTTAAATTGGTCAGACAATTGCTGAAAAACCTTCTAGCTGCCAAGTTATACGTAAAACTATCAAAATACAAATTCCACAAGGAGTCGTTGGATTACCTGGGTTACCGAATATCCAACCAGGGAATTGAAATGGATCTGGGAAAAGTAAAAGCCGTACTGGATTGGCAACCCCCCAAAACACGCAAGCAACTTCAACGTTTTTTGGGTTTTGCCAACTTTTATAGGCAATTCATTCCTTCTTTTGCTGAGGTCGCTCTCCCTTGACGGATTTGTTAAAAACGGGGCCCTCCCCCCTCAAACCCAAACCCAGCCTACCCCTTGCTTGGGCCATGGACCGTCAGAAAGCTTTTGAAACTCTAAAACGCCTTTTTGCAGCTGAACCCATTCAACACCCAGACCCGACCAAACCTTTTATAGTCCAAGCTGATGCTAGTGATGTGGCAGTAGCAGCCATTCTGCTACAAAAAGACTCTCAGAACCAACTGATGCCTTGCGCTTATGTGTCCAAAAAGCTGACGGACAGAGAGCGAACATGGGTGGTCTGGGAGAAAGAAGCATTTGCAGTAAGATGGGCTTTGTTGACTTGGAGGCATTTCCTAGAAGGGGTGAAGGAGCCGTTTGAGGTATGGACTGATCACAAAAAACTCGAAGCGCTAAAGACACCTCGGAAACTATCCCCTAAACAAGTCCGCTGGGCTCAATATTTCAAATGATTCAACTTCAACCTGAAATATATCCCCGGAGGGAAAAACATATTGGCAGATGCCCTGTCCAGGAAGCCCCAGTTTGACAGTCACTGAGAGGAAATAGTACAGCCTTTAATATCACAACCTCAATCGGCAGGCCAAGTAACCACTCAAGGCCAAGCCAACCGCAACCCCAACCGCCTGGAAGACAAACTGACCACAGAATTGAAAGCAGCCCTATTGACCGATCCCTGGTTTGTGGAACATCAACCCGAATTAACAATCAATGAAGGACTGGCTTGGAAAGGGACTAAACTTTATGTACCCGCAACCCTAAGACTAATGGTACTAAAACATAGCCATGACTCGCGACTGGGGGGACATTTCGGGTTCTTAAAAACCCTACATTTAGTCAGAAGACAGTTCTGGTGGCCAAAAATGAAACCTGACATACAGGACTATGTAAAAAGTTGCTCAGTTTGTGCCACAATGGAACACAGAACTGGAAGAAACCCCGGTCTCCTCCAACAAGTAGCTGAACCAACACAGCCATGGGAAGAAATCGCACTGGACTTTATCATAGAATTACCTGAAAGTGGATGGAATACAATCATTTGGACTGTTACTGACTTATTCTCTAAGCAGGCCCACTTTATATCCTGTAAAGGACTACCATCTGCAAAAAAGCTTGCAAAACTGTTCGCGAAGCATATTTATAGACTACATGGAGTACCTCGTAGAAT